GTATATTTTTTTAAAATAATACAATACTTCAAAATTTTATCATAATAGATAAATAATTTTATTTATAATATTATAAATTTTTTTTATTAATTAATTAAAAAATTAAAAAGTTTTATTAGTAGCATATATCAATTTTAGATGAAAATTTTAACATACCATACATTACTATATAAAAATGATCTATGTATACCCTACCTTTAATAATCCTTTGGAGATTAAAGACCTTATTCAAAATACTCAAGTAACAAGAAGAGCAAAAAATACTTGAAAAGATGCTCTCAGAATATATAAAGTTCTTAAGTTTTGACCAAAAGAAATAATCCTGCAGTTGAAGTATATGACTGTGACATATATTATCAAGTTGTTAGATGATGAGTATATTCAACTTCTTAAATCAATTAGAATATAAAATTTATAGAATAAATTTTTAAAGAGAATGGAAATATTATAGAATAAATTATTATTTTATTATTATTAGTCATTATTATTATTTTATTATTATTATTTAGTATTAGTTATTCTATTATTGTATTATTATTATTATTACTAATAGTTGCTAGAACTTCTTAGTTAATTAGTAATCACTTAGTCATTTAGTCACTTAACTGCTTAGTTGCTTAATCATTTAATAATTAATCACTTAGTAATCATTAGTTATTAATGCTAGAACCTTCCAGTTACTTAGTAATCAATTAGTTACTTAGTCACTTAGTTACTTAATCACTTAATTGCTTAGTTACTTGGCAACTTAACCATTTAGTTTACAGATATATAAACCCTGCTAAATTCTCCAAATGCAATTAAGTAACAAACATTCTTCTTCCCTTTAATATTATAAATACATCTTGAGATTTTTTAAAAACAAAAACCTAAGAATAACCTTTCTTGTTATTACTTTAATAAACAACTTTTAACTATAAACTGTATTGATACTCTTTCTCTAGAATAATTCTTACAAGCAAGATTTATCTTCTCTTAGTAAAATAAAGTAAAGTTATTAGTATTGCATTACCTTTCTTGAACTACCTCAAAGAAGGATATAGTAATTCATAGAATCACATTACCAATAAGTTGTTAATAAAAATCAAAAGACTAAGAAGATCACCTTAACACCAAAAAAAAAATTTTTTTAAACTTAATTAATCTTAATATTAAAAATTCTATATAAAAACATATATTAATGCTACTATACTCTACATTATTAATAACATAAACATCTTAATGAATGTGAACAGTTTATGTTGATAAGCAAATAAATAGTATTATAAACAAATGAAAGGTATGTTTACATCAACTGTACACATTTAAACAATCTAAAACAATGCCTAAAGTCAATAAATACACCTATATAGTAAATGCTATGTTGTCAATAAATATGAACATTAATTTGATGCACAGCATATCCGCGGTTGGTTTCCAGAAAAACGTGCTTCAAAAACATAGATTGTTAGTAGGTAAATTTTTGTTAATGCAAGTTTTTCGGGAAATTTTAGTGCTTTAAAAATTTTTCATATTAAAATTTTTTTGCCTAATTAGGTTTTTGCCGACCAGCCAATAATGTGCTTGGACATTGTCCATGGACATATAGGATCTTTGCCTTGAAAATGACCTTACGGGACTATGAGATTTAATGAATAAAAATCAAATTTTCTAGCTATTCTGTAATCCAATTTAAATAAACTTTTTTTTTATTTTGTAGAACTCGCTAAGCTTTACAAAATAAAAAAAAGTTTATTTAAATTGGATTACAAAATGGCTAGAAAATTTGATTTTTATTCATTAAATCTCATAGTCCCGTAAGGTCATTTTCAAGGCAAATATCCCATATGTCCATGTCCAATAATTTTATTGGACATTTGTCCACGCACATTACTTACTGTATCCTAGCTAAAGCTAGGAAAAACGAATACTGTTAGATATCCGGAGCGTAGTTAAAAATAAAAGTAAAATATATTGGTTGATATAATCTAAAAATAGGTGTGAACATAAACACACGAAATCTGGTTTATTACTCCCCTATAATATCCCCCGCCACGCTCCGAATAATTACTGCAACTATAATACTTATAGCAAGTTTTGAGATAAAATCCAAACCTCTTTTTAGTATTAACATTGAACATATATAAAAATAATTTTTTGATCACAAGTTGTCATCCAATTTGTCTTTTTTCATAATTTTCTCATGTAATTTTTTGCTATCGTTCATTTCTTGCAGAATAAGTTTATCTGATAAAAAGGTGAAAAGGAAACATGAATAAAAAAAAGTACATAAAGTGAATAGGTTATAAATATCTTACCAAATCCTTCTATTTCTTTGGCCGAATTAGAATTCAGAGTATTCAACATCAGTTCCTCTCCCTTAACCATCTCGAGATAAGATTCCAACTCTCTATATCTGTCAATTCGTTTTTGATGTTGTCTTATGCGTTTGTTCATCATCATAGAAATCCAGGCTGGTTGACGCCATCCTCTTATTCTCTGAAGCTTATATCCTAACTGCGTGACTATTGTATATCTCACAAGCCCTTCACGCCATTTATGTTTTTTTTTTGGCCACCTTTTCTTTCGAAAGAAACGTACCCTTCGTGGCTTATATAAACGTGGATCTAGAGGAATTCTGTACGCATAATGCGGATCAATCATACGTGATTGAGCAGTTCGAGTATCATAAACTAGTTTATGAATTTTTGACTATGAATTGTATTAGCAAAAAAAAGATTTAATAAAATATAATATTGATAAGAAATATTATTGTACCCGTTTATTCCATTTTTTCTTTTTAATCTGTAAATGAAAATTGGTTCAATATGTATATTTAACCGACACATTATGAAATATTGAAATTAATCTACAAACTTACTATTTCCAATACTTCTTTGAGCCTTCCTTTCCTACCCCAAGCCAAGTCATCAATATGTTGAAAGGATTCTTTATCACCTCGCAATGCTTTTTGTAAAGTGAGCCGACACTAAAAGTACGCATTCTAAGAGATTATATAATCAGTTAAACCACAAAGTTGTATAAAGTCACGAGCATACTTCTTGTGCCTCTTTCAAATGTTCGATAGTTGAAATCACCGAAGTTTCATAACGCCTAGATCTAAATTTTTCACGAATAGTAAAATATAAATATTTTCTGTGAATATCACTGGTGAATGTTTTGGATAATCTGAGCAGCGTTTTGTAAAGGGATAAAACTGGCAATCGATGTTGAGGAAGCTGCCAAAAAGGACGTCGGGGTCGATATCGTAGCCTTTGAAGTGACATTGTGATAAGAATAAAATCATGATTATCGTACTATATTTATCATTATTTTTCATGTGATTAGTAAATTTATGATAAACCTATTAAAGTTGAGGACATAGTAAATTTATTGAAACATTTACTTATGTCGAACATTAAAAAAGAGGATCTTCCCGTAGTGAATATTATTAATTATTTTCGTTTAGCACCTCCACTTATGCATTGTCTGATATATTATGTACTTTCTTATAGTCATCAAATGTCACTAGACAAAAACTTGAGGAAGCAGAAGCGGAACTCAAAGATTTACTGGTTCGCAAGAAACAAGTGGACAAGAGCCTAGTGAGTTTGTCTCAAAATTGGTAAAGAGCCAACCTTTTTTATACTCGTGGTTAACCACCCGAATATTGTTGAACGCAACAATGCAGAAAACAATCGAGAAGCATATCTGGAATTTTGAAGGATCTTATTTGGAAGAAACTCATTCAGGAGGAAACTTAATTCGTGGGTTTGACGGTTATTTAAGGGCCGCAAACGATAAAAAGAAGCGATCAGAAATTACACGTGAAGAACGATTGTTTTCTCTATCAAGGTTAATGTCTAAATTTTGATTAATAAAATCGCGTGTTTCTGAATCAATTGACCCTTTCGCTTGCGACTGTGATTTTTCTTTTTTAAAAAAAAGAATCATTTGATATTGAATTATTTTTTCCAATCAAACGTGGCAGTGCGACTTCTGAGAAGGTACTTGTAACTCAATATGTGTCCTATATGAATTTATTTTGTAAGATTTATTAAAATTTATATTAATTTCGGATCAGGCCGTTGGGTTGGTTGATGACACATCATCAAGTTCGGATGATCTTAAGTCTGGCTACAATAAACAAATAGGACCTAATATAAAAAAGAAGAGAAAACAACAAAGGCCTACTAATTATATATATCCTCAAGAAGTTAAAGAAGCGAAAGATAGGGAGGTAAGAAGGATCAGATTGCCTGTTCGAGATCGAGATGAAAAAGATACGGAAGAGGAAGTAGATATTTGATCAAGCTGCGAAATCCGAAATGATTTATATCCATAGCGTTACTTTTGAACCTTTGAGAAATGCATTACTGTGAGAAATTATATATATTTGCAAAATTCTCTTACCGTTATGCGTGGTAAGAGAGTAACCAATTCATTAATTTCATTATTTCATATCTCATATTGGAATGATCGATTGATATATACATAATATGTAAAAAAAAAAAAAAGCAAAAAACTTATTTATAGTTCGACTTAAACATCACAAATACAATATAACCGTTAATCCTGTGCTATTTTCCCCGTACATAAATTTTTAATTGACTCGTGAAATATTTGCCGTGGTCGTGATGATCACAATCACGAAATCAGTCTTGTTATAATTTCTGACTTATGATTGGTTGTGTAACCATCACGACCCTAAGTACAATGGTTCGAGTGATATATGGCGGAATTATGTGAATGCACTACAGGTTTTGCAAAGAGCTTGATTTTGCCGCCTCAAAATATCCTTTAATAACTTGTTTTGACCCAAGAAAAAGGAATTACTTTTTTTTTTTTTTTTTTTTTATTACTTAACTATGTCTTCGTCCTCGTTAGACAGCTCTCTAAATGCTTTGGGAACTCAGCCAATGTTTTCCTCAGCTCAGGAAGGTGGTGATACTTTCTCTAAAGGAAAGCAGGTCAACGGAAAAGACGACTCGTCAACTAATAATTCTATGCCCACAGTTTCTTTACCTCAACAAGAAAACGGAAAGCTGCCTCATGCGACAGCTTCAGGACAAAACCAACAATTAAGAATTTATCAAAATCATGACGATCCAACTGAAGAAGTTGACGAATCTCCTTTTATAAATCCAATTTCTTTTTTAAACACTATGCATCAAAAATTGAAAACTACCGCACCTCCTGTATATTCTTTCTCTCATGACCCAACAACCGGACAATTTTATTGTCAAGTTCATTTTTGTGGACAGACTTATCAAAATCAGACCGCAAGGCCAAAAAAACAGCAAGCGAAAGAAGAAGTTGCTAGCATTGCGATGAGAGATCTTTCTCTCAGAATGTCTGATATTACAGCTTTAATCCGTACAGATTTAATTCGGGCTCATGTTGCCGCATCTCAAAAAGCTAAATTCGGTGGTGGAAAAAATCAACCTGGAAATGGAGTTATGGTGACTCATTCTCGACAAATGTCACAACAAATAACACCACACCCTTTAGAACTAATCCCAAAATCGGTTCAATGGTATAGAAAACAGTCTGAACTTGCAAGTAATGGGCAACCAAAACGGCCTTGTGTCTTATTGCTCGAATTTTGTCAAATGCATAAATTAGGTCAACCTGTTTATTCAATGAGAGATGATGGTAGAGGCAATTATCTTTTTGACTGCACAATAGCTGGTAGAGTCTTTAATCCAGAGATAGCTTTCTGGCACAAGAATGATGCAAAAGACCATGTAAGCTCAATAGCCTTTAATGTTCTTTATGGTGAATGTGTTGAGAGAGAATATAGAGAAATACAATTACGATACCATCAGCCTCAACTTCACGGTGCTATCCCGACACCTTACGGAAATTCAATGGCTCTTTATTCAACTGCTGATGGTGGATACTTTGCAACCCCGGGAAATCTTGTCCCAGCAAATCCTATCTATGTACAAAACAATCTTATTCCAAGTCATTCTCATTCAATTCCTAGGACTTCTTAAGATTATTGTCCAACTTATTAGAAAATAAATTTATCTTTTACGTTTTTGGTAGTGTTTCAAATCCATATTATCATAACATTTTAGGTTTTCTCAATTTTATATATATTAACTTCCAAATGTCGATGGATATTAGTACATTGTTGTATCAACAATTTTACTTGTAAAGTTAGGGTTAATGTTCATTTAATTATAAGCTTAGCGGATGTATTTATTGTTTATCTATTAGATGATTTTGCTATTTCTTTATCAAAACTAGTTAGATGAGAATTTTCTTACCAATAATAATTCACGTGACAAATTCTCATACCGTCACGTGTAATTTCGATGTCGAACGCTAATAATAATCCGTAACCTTTTTTTCCAAATGTAGTGACCAAAGTGAGACTCCAATAAAACGCGTTCTCTTGTGATACCAATATTTTTAATTGCCGATTGTTCTCGACTGAATTTTATGAAAAAAAAATGACTTCTTTTCTCAGAAATGGCTGAATATTCACCTTTAAGTACCTCTGAAGACCAGCCCACTCCTCAGCTACAGAACAAGCGGGAATTCAAAATAAATTATATTACTATTTTTTTTTTCCTCGCAATCGGCATTACCCTTTGGACCTCTATTCCTTCTTTAATATACTTATTTAGCGGTAGGTTAGAAAAATCAATACCAATAGAACCTTCGCAAGAATCATCAGTTCCCACGCACACAAGCCCCATTCTAAATTTCGAGCCATCAGAACCGCATCCGGAAATGACTAAACGCATTATTTCCGCTTATTTCACAAGTTGGAGTATTTATGCCCGTGAGTTCAATGTAAAAGACCTCGACGCGAAGAAAATTTCTCACATTAATTATGCATTTGCTAATTTGGATGCTGATGGAAGTGTTAAACTTGGTGATCCCTGGGCAGATACTGATAAACATTTTGACGGTGATTCTTGGAACGAAGGAGGTAACAATTTGTACGGCAATTGGAAACAATTGGGTCTATTAAAAAAGAATAATAGGCATCTTAAAGTACTTATATCAATTGGCGGGTGGACTTGGTCGACGAATTTTCCTGCAGTTGCTGCAGATCTTTCTAAGAGAAAAAGAATGATCGCTTCCGCAATAAAGATGATGTATGATCTTGGTGCTGATGGTATTGACAGTGAGTTGGCAATGATTCTTTTAAATGTTGAACTAACACACTGTGTTAATTGATAATGTTATAAAATTATTAATATTTGTTCGTTTCTCTTTGGCTTTAGTTGATTGGGAATACCCTTCTACTGAATCCGATGCGGATAATTATGTAGAATTATGTAAAGAGTTTCGGCATGAATTGGACAAATATGCTGAAAAGATTGGCGAAAAAATACCGTTTCTTCTAACTGCTGCAGTACCATGTGAACCAAACGTATACAAAAAGAGGTTGAAAGATATGAGTAAATATCTGGATTTCTTTAATTTAATGTCATATGATATGGCAGGCTCTTGGTCATCCGTTACTGGTCATCAAGCAAATTTATACGGTGACGATTTATCAGTTGATAAAGCTGTTACCAGTTATATCTCGCGAGGAGTTCCAGCTCAAAAAATTGTAGTAGGTATCCCAATGTATGGTCGTTCGTTCATCAAAACAAAAGGCATTGGTCACCCTTTCGATGGAATTGGTGAAGGAACATGGGAAAAAGGTGTTTTTGATTACAAAAAACTACCACCTCAAAATGCCCAAGAGTTTTTTGATGATAAAGTAGTAGCAAGTTATAGTTATGACTCGATTACAAAAGAATTGGTATCTTATGATACACCTGACGTAGTTAGGCTCAAAACTAAATATGTCATAGATAAAAATTTACGTGGAGTTATGAATTGGGAAATTTCTGCAGATTTTTTTGCATCTCACTCCCGTTCATTGCTTGCCATTGAATTTGACTCGCTTGATGGAACCAACTGTTTAGATTCTACTCCAAACCATATTTACTATCCGGACAGTGTATATGATAATGTCAGAAGTTATTTCGATTAAATTTTTATAAACATATTTTATAAATATATACTCATTATGGTAAAGTATGAAGGTTACACGATGTCGATATTTCAACTGTGTTTAAATAATTTGCCAAGTTTTAGTGCCATAAGACTAAGACATACTTATTAAGCACTGTATGATATTAAAATTTTAAAATTGTAAACAAACCAGTTTTTTTTTGGCATAGTAAAAGAATTTTGCTATAATTGGCACTGTTTTGTAATTGAGTATTTTTGGTAGTTGTTGGGGCAGTTTTTTTTTGTAACTGTTTTGGTTTTT